AGTGAATTATAATGATCTCATGAGGTTTACACACTATACACATATTTATAGATGCACAACCTGTTTATTATTATAATTCTTTTGGATATGGACATGGAATACCAACATTGTACAACTGGAGATGCATTGGGAATGAATCAAGTTTGAATGTTTGTTTAAACTCTACTACAACAAGCTGTTACTATAGTTATGGTGGTTTGTACAGAATATCTGGAGTTAGATGTAAAGGAAGCATTGTACCAGGTATATAGCTAGTCAATTTTGATCTATTTGTTGCATTTAAACATAAAGCCATAGGAAATTGTTCTACTGGTACTATGCGTCTTGTTAGTCCTAATGGTCCTAATAAAGTGGAAGGGAGAATAGAGTATTGTAGTAATGGACTGTGGGGTACTGTTGATAGCTATGGATTTGATGTTAGAGATGCTCATGTTGTATGCAGAAAACTTGGTCATCAGACACCACGTATGATAAATCTATTATCTAATTCTATATTACATTGTCTCAATGACTGCAGGAGCTTTGATATTTGGGTATGCTTACTTTGGTCAAGGATCTGGTCCAGTGGTGTTTTGTTATTTAGGATGTACTGGAAATGAAGATAGATTAGAACATTGTACTTACTCATCAAGTCCATATTATGCTAGTCACTCAGCTGATGTTGGTGACTTGGTGTGAAATGTTCAGAGAGAGGTTAAGTATAATATATTGCTCATAATGAATCGCTTCCATTACAGTATTAACTGACTGTATTAATGGCAGTGTACAACTGGTTAATGGTACTACACCAGATGAAGGAAGAGTAGAAGTTTGCATCAATGGAGAATGGGGAACTGCTTGTGGTCGGTACTGGGATAAAAATGAAACTAAAGTTGTTTGTAAGCAGCTTGGATATGACCAAGATGCAGCAGGTATATCTACTGTTTTATAGAAACAAATAACATTGCACTGATAAACTTTACTTTTAGATGTGTCAATATTTAGATATTCTAAATTTGGGGATGGAGACTATCAACAAATTTTATGGAATATTCAGTGTACTGGATCAGAAACTAACTTGGCATCTTGTAATAATTACCATGATGAT